GTGATATGGGACAAAATAAGAAGGCATCTCTCCAACCTTCCAGCCTTTTAGACTAAGCTAACGTGTGGGATCATTCACAAGGAAGTGAACAGGCCTGTTTCACAAATATTGAGATATTCCTGTTAAATATACATGCAAACACCACTTTTGTTGTCAGGCTATGTCAGCTGGCTTCACTCTGCTACTCACAGACTCCACACTCTGCCTCCTACCCCCATCATGTTCATCATCATCATCATCATCATCATCATCATCACCTTTGTCCCATAAATGAATAAAAAAAAAAAAACAAAAACAGCATACTCAGTGGTGCTTGCCCTGCTCTTGTACTTTTTTTATTTTTTAATTTCCAAGAAATACTGTGTTTACCTCTCTTTCCTCCTGCTATGCTTCGAGGCTTCCGGCCTTCCCAGGCTTCTGGTGCTATCAAGTGGGTGCTTCCATTCAAACCCGTTCCAGTGTGCTAATAAGAAAAGAAAAGTGAGGCTGGATCCAAACAGCATGAAAAAAATATATATATACTTGTCAAAATTTCTGTTGATTTAATGCTGGTCATGTTATCGTTTAGTTTGTATCTGTCTATACCTCACACTGGGAATTTTCATTGTCAACTGTGTATTGTTGCTTGTGCAGCCAACAAAACAGTCACCCCCCCCCCAGACGAAAGCGATCACTTCACCACTTGGGTTGTGAAAGGGGAACAGCAATTAAAGTGAGTGTGTAAGGATCTTGTCAGAGCTGTTAAAACCGACGTTCTAATTTTGCTGCTGCTACGTTTTTTGTTTTGTTTTGTTTTGTTTTGTTTTGTTTTGTAGCCACCTTCAGAATGACAGTGCTGAGCAGATTTTGTTGGAAAGGATGGTGGATGCTGCATTCAAAGACAGCAGAATTCAAACTGCTTGAACTGACTCATCTACTGGCTGTGGGATTAAGAAGCTCCATTTAGAAAAAGAAAAGACAACTTAATCAAACTGGTACTCGTTGCTGTGAACTTGGATGTTTGAATGTCACATTGCTTCAAAACGTATCTGAAGTGCAAGCGAAATGAAAAGCATCATGTGATTAGCTGCATATATTTTGTATTCAGTATTATTGTTGGTACACTGTTACTAATTTTTTTTTTCAAATGTAAATTATATGCTAATTTATTGCATTGTCACTTGTACATTGATTTCACTGCATGCAAACTGAAATTTAGCATAGTGAAAAAAATGCCATGATACGGCCCTTCACCAACTTTTTTTTTTTTAAGTAGATAAATGAATAAAAAGAGCAGCTTTTAAACAGAATCCTCTGTTAACACATTCATTTTTACTATGCTTGTCAAAACATATTAGAGCGTGCAACCTTAAACTTGCATGGCAAGGTTATTTCCATCATTAACTTGGTTTTGCTCAGGTTCAGTGGTTTGGAGACAAAGAGGTGGAGCTGAGATAGTTTAGATGTGCAGCGGCAGGATGGTGGCTATATTAGACAAAGGATGTTGAACATGGAGCTGCTAGGCAGGAGATAAAGTAATTCAGTTTTATTTATATAGCGCCAAATCACACCAGTCGCCTCAGAGAATTGGAATCAACATTATTTATTTGTATGAATGTTAATAGCCATCATCAAACTAAGCATTTAGTCTTTTTATTCATTATATTATTATCATTTATATATTATATTTATTTTATTATGTTATATATTTTATCTTTATCGTTTCTTCTCTAACCCTGTGTTTTAGAGAAAAGTCAAAAAGGAACTTTTACTGGGGAAAAACAATTAATGTATTAATGTTCATCAGAATGTGTTTTTTTTCTGCCAGCTTATTATCAATACTTGTGAAGAGCATGGAACAGCATGGAGTTGGAGTTATGTGTTAGGGTTAAGGATTGCAATACCTCAGCAGTGATTCCTGTGAGAAGGAAACACTCAGGATGAAATATGGTGCCAGGGTGGATGCCCCACTCACAGGGTTTAAGAGATGTATACTCTTTTTTTTTTTTTTTAATTCAACTCTTGGAACATCCTCAGAGTGAGAACAGCTGATGGTGTTACACCAGGATATTGGTTACCAGCTTTAAAGAAGTGCATTGATTTGCTGCCTCAGTTTAGGGTGACCATATCAAAGAAGGGACTTTTGTTCTGATCCACCTTACTCGAAATCCCCAGCCACATCATTATCTGAGATTCAAGGATAAGACTTTGTTTGAGCAGCGTCAAACAACTTGCCAAACATTTTTGTTGATATAGTTTTATTATTGGACTTTACGTTCTCTTATCCCCATCAGAAAGTGTCTAGGTCCACTCGTAGGAAGCTCTGAGATTTCCACTCTCCCTGGTAATTAATTCCAAATAAACAGTAACTAGCCCACTTGGCTGGGAAACACAGCCATCTCTGTCTAATCCAGTGTCCAATTACTGGGGGAGACAGATGGCCTGTTTGGTTTAATGTAACCAGTTTAGAATACCTGTATGTCTGGCCCAGCTTCTGTCTCTTACACTGGCCCTTCTGCAGGGGTCTGTGATTACATTAGCCCCAACCTGTGGAGCTTAAGGTGACAAGGAGAGAGAGAAAAATAAGAAGCTGAGGGATCGTGTATCTGCAGATGACCTGACAGCCATGAGGTGACTGCCTTACATGAAACATTTACACCTGATTATGTGAGCACATACGTCCATGAGAGCTTGCTGTAGACTCAACACACAAACAGAAAGAAACAGAAGCCATCCACTGGATACTGTGAGTGTACACATGGACAAGAAGCCTCCAGGCAATGAAAGCAAGATTTACTGGTATTTACCTTTCTTGGTTTCAGGGCTGCAGGTCTTAAGTCTCATGAGTTCAGGCCTTAGAATCCCACCAATCCATTGAGCTGACTTATTTGTCTGGAAAGGTGACATGAAAAAGTCGTTTCTTGGTTGACTGGGAGGACTAACAATAGGCCATTCAACAATAGCTACAACTGCACTTTTAACTAATCAAATATAACTTAAAAAAAATAAATTATGTGATTTTCTCTTAAATGGAAGTTTAAAAGAACAGGTTTTAGCTCTCCTGTGTTTGTGCAACATTTCAGGATACCAGTGTGCAACATCTCAACTG